TCTAACAGATCTTGTACAGAATGTTTGCTTCTCCCTGGACCCCAGACACTGGGATGACCCTAAAAGTCGATTTTAGAGGTCACTGGGGTGTGTGTATTAGGGGAGACTGAGGAAGATTTTCTAGTAAACTTACTAATTTTTTAAAAAAGTTGAAATGGTTTCCTTCCCAACTCTTCCCCCCTCCGCATTCTTTTCCCTCTTCCAACTACCAATGTTCTGAGAAGTTGAAAGGAATCCACCCTGCCTCGTATCCAAATGTATCTGATCTTGCTGTGATTGCTTCTGTTGCCGATGATGCTGGCTCTATCCCTTGGGAGGTAGAGGAGATGACCCAAAAGAAAGTCCATAGGAGCTGCCAGAGCTAGTGGAACTCTAAAGTCAAGAGTGCTCCTCCCCAACACATTCTGGGCCAGAAATGCAGTCTGGATCTGGTGCCTGATGTTCTTGCCTTGAGAGATGGGTATAGGGTGGGACTGGACTTGGCAACCTCCTGAGGGAGATGAATTTGTCCACAGTCAAAAGTAGAAGCTCTAATGGGTGGGAGTCGGGGGATGGGGTTCTGCATAATCCTCATCGGGCTCAGTGGGGGGGGAGGGAACAATAACTGTAAAGAATCCCTCTTCTAGGTTGCCAGTCTTCCCAAATGGCGCTTCTAAAATAGGTCAAAAAAAGATAAGTCAAAGGTAGAGGAGGGCTTTCTAATCAGAATGGAGGGGGATCGAAAGGGGAGAAGGAGAAAGGAATGGAGAGAGAGAGAGAGAGAGAGACAGAGAGAGACAGAGAGAGAGACACAGAGAGAGAGAGAGAGATGCTTTTCATTCTTTCATTTAATCCTCCTAAATTCAGAGTCAGCAGTTAAGCAAAATCTGAAACACCCTTTTTGTGTTCTGGTTTTTTCTTTTCCCCTAAAGGGAATTAGTCCTCCCCTGGGAATCCCAGTTCCCCGCCCCTCCCCAGTCCCTAAATCTGCAGACACCTACATTCTTAGCTCCTGTGCTCCTCCTACGCAGCTCCAGCCTCGCTTCTTTTCCTGCCCCTACACGAAATCCGTCGTAAGAGAAAGTTTCGCTTTTGCAGTTACTCTAGTTTACCGAGAGAGCCATAAATCTTGGGTGGCCTGGAGAAACAATCAGGTCCTTATTAATAGTCGTCGTCCTAGTAATAATAATAAAACCCTCTCCTTTGCTCTTTTCTAAGTCATTTTACTGTCTTCTTCCGTCCTTAGAAGTGTAAATGTTCTCTCTCTTCTCCTTCACCTCCTTCTATCCTGTGCCAGTCAGGAGGTGAGGATATTAACAGACTCAACTTCAGAGCGAAGTTCCTCAAGTCTTCGTTCGCCCTACCTCATCCTGGCGCTATAACCTCCTCCTTTTGTCCCCCTTGTTTCGACCCCCTTCCCCCAACTCTCATATTGATGTGTGTGCGTGCGAGTCTGTGTTTAAATCATCAGTCACCCGCTTGCTGTCTGTTCGCAAAAAAAAAAAAGAGGGGGTTGTTATGCTTAAAAAAAAAGATCCTTGTGCCCCCCCTTCTCCCTAATTGGAATTGGAAGGAGAGTCTACCTAGAGATTTGGGGAGAGGGAAGAAGTATAGGGAGGGAAGGGATGAGAAAAGGAAGAGACACGGAAAAGAAGGAAGAGAGGCAGAGATAGACAAGGAGATGGAGAGGCAAGACCCAAAGAGGATTCAAACTATTTAAAAAACAATAGCGAAACTTTGTGTTTTTAAATTAATGAGGATTCGCACCCAATAGTCACACCCAAGAACTCAGAGCCAGCTCTGGCTAGGCCTCAGTCCACTACTGTGTCTGATTAGCATAATGTTTCACTAGTGACGCTGCGTGGCGGGGGGGGGGGGGGGCGGCGGCGATGATGGTCGAGGGAAGCATGAGAACTCACTCTACCCACTTTGCCCGGGGCTTCTCCCTCCCCATCCCCCCAAATCTTGCACATATATTTTTTATCACCTGTATTCTATTTTGTTTTAACCCTACACTCTCCACTCCTTCCTACTTTCTTTTTTTTTTTAAGGGGGGAGAGGAGGAGAAACAAAAACATCCCCCCCCAGCTTCCTTCTGTATCAGGCATCTAAGCCCGGGAAGGGGAGAGGTGGGGGGGGTGTGTATGTAGGCTTGTGTGTGAGTGTGTGTGTGTGTATGTGGTTTTTTTTTTTTCCTGTGCAAAAGCAGAGGCCATTGTTATCGGAGAGTAGGGCGTACCAGTCTTATAGGGCAACCAGATTGTGGAGACTTGTCCGTTCGCGAGCCTGGAACCGGATTCTCTGGGAGCTGCCGAACCACCTTTCGCCTCTTCTATTTTTTTCCTACTCCTCCACCCCCCCTCCCTCCTCCACACCCCCCCCCCCAAGCGGAGTGAATTGAAACGGACGCACCGCGGCTTCTGCGACCGGCCCCTCTGGCTCCGCAGCCGGGGTTCCTCTTTTGGGTGGGGGGGGAAAGAGGGGGGGATGTAGCTTTAAACAGTGGCATTTTTTTTTTTTTGCCTTCAATCTGGGGAGATTTCTCGCCTACCGCTCGCGTTGGGGCTCGATGTGAATATATATTATGTCTGCCTGTTCTCCCCTCGTCGGTGGCTAAGGTAAGCTGGACTGAAATAGGCTATCAGTTTGTGAATGGCGGAGAGTATGTCTCAATGATTTATGGCCCATATGACTGCGATCTCGGTTCAAGAAGAGTTCACAAGCTTTAGGCTTCCTTCCACGCAGCGACTCTCTCTCTCTCTCTCTCTCTCTCTCTCTCTCTCTCTCTCTCTCTC